TGTTCTACGATTTATGAGGTGCTACTATCTTAGATGCCTCTTGCATTTGATGTTTGTATCATCTTATGCTTTAGTTATTTAATCATCTTATACTTTTATCACTACTGTATTCTACTATGGTCATTGTTTATATTACTATCATATGTTGCATGGAAAATCCAACTTATGTGGAATGTGATGAACATCTATTTTAAGGCACGTATGGAGGGAAGGTACGCCCATTTATGCACGAATGAGATGTATGTTTGATACTTAGATCATTGATACCATAGGTCATTGCTATGGCTTGTAGAGTCCCTAAATAGAAACGAGGTAGTCTTACTTAGCTTCCTTAATTGATTGATTAGTTTAGTGACATGAAACGAAAGCACACATTAGCTAACCAGTAGGATGGCTTTAGTGGAAAGGATATGATATCACAGATCGATGCATAGATACATCTTATTAATGAGAATACATGCATGACCATCTTGATGCCGCAACCTAAACAATGTTTTTTACATTGCTTTCCTTGCTTTATAATTTCGAGTGTAGTTATTATCAAAAGACCCTGGACTACCACCCTAGGAATTCCTAGGGTTATCACTTATATTATATCAAGTTTTTTGCGCCGTTTCCACGAATTTTTATTGTATTTGAAAGAAGCTAATTAATCATCTTGTGTTCTATTTCACTTCATGGTATTACGCTCTAGTTGGTTTTGTTTTGCAGATCTGGAACTCACAAGTGAGAGATGTATTGCAGATCCTACAAGGACGTGATACTAGAAGCATTTGGAATTCGATTCAACGAGCATATCACGAAGAAAGGTGAGTTTTCTAACTCTGTCAGGTACTTTATTCCGAAATATCAAAGATCGTAGCAAGCAGCATCCATCTAGCTCCAAGCATCAAGCCAATTCCTGCACTTGACATAATTAATTAAGGGTGTGTATCAGTGTATACAATAACGAAGTATCAATTCTCATATGGGCAGATGAAGACGATCTCGACGAGATGGACCCATTAAACGAGAAGTGCGCAGTTGACCCAAATATATTGATGATCATAGTGTGTGTTATGTGGAGGAGGAGATGGAAGTGGTGGATATGCCGATGTTGCTGTCGGAAACGGCGGAAGGACTGTTGCTGTCGCCGCCGTGGGGCTACGTGGAAAGGTGCAATAATGGTGGCGCTGAACTTACAGCATGATTGGTGGTTGTGGAGTCATTACTAAGCTACCGTGGCTGGTTAAGATATTTGTGGGACTACTCGAATAGAAGCCAGTGTTTAGCGACTAGCGAGTGATACATTACATATGATACGAGTGGCCATGTTTGCTCGGAGATTGTGCACCAAGTAATATGGGAGGAAATGGAGTCGCTCCTTGTCGGATTCTGGTCCTACGTACGTTTGTTTTTGTGGGGACTAGGGACAGGGATAAGGGCAGCAACTTGTTGAGTTCGTAATATCTTTTTTTGTTTGATTGATCATGTGATGGTTGAACCTTTGAAGGGAAAGGAGTGATATATACATACGGGTTGTCTTTCTTACTTATTATTTCAAAGAATTTAAGATGGTGAGGATGAAGATATTCCACAGTGGATCACAAAGTTGTGAAGGTCTTAGTTTCTTCCATTGTTTGGTGCCAGCAGCAAAACATATTTATTGTTAATGTTACTTGAATCGGATGATCTACCGTTGAATGGAAGTTACAGCGATCTCGTTCAAGTAAGTCGGATTATGTAACTGAATAAGTACCATAAATACTTTTCATATTCCTGTAAGGCTGTAATATGAATCAATCTTCTCAAGTATGCACAATGTCATTCTTAAGGTACCCCACACAAAATAAAATAAAATAAAACATGCATGATTTCATCACCCATATGATTATGAAGTGTTTCATCGGACAAATCGTCATAAAACATCAGCACAAACCTGGTTTGATCTTGATTAAACAAATTATGAATGAAACATGTAACTTAAGGACTAATTTGAGAACGTGATCATAGTAAAGAGGCAAATTTTATGTGAAATAATAGTAGATGTGAAATTTTATACTATTATTAACCAAAAAATTAATTTTCAAAGTTCAAAATTAGTTTGTCAAAGATGCCATGATTCATGAATATCCAGAATTGGATTTTGTAGGCAGAGGATTTTTAATTTATAACAGCACAAATATAAATAAATTCAGAAGAAACAAGAAGAAAACTTTGGTGAATACATGTCCCCAGCACTGAGTCATTGACCCACGTACCTCACCAAAAATAGGAACCCACCTTTGTTTCCCTGAAATGGTTTCATACTTGGATGATTCATGACAAATTGACAATAACCTTTTTGTTTTTCTTTGGTTACTATTTCGGATGTTTGTGGAGTTGTCTGCTCAGAGATTCTGAACCAAGTAATTAATTGTGAGCAAAATAGTGTCGTTTCCTCTTTGTTTAGTTTTTTTTTCCTGGGTCCTTTATATCTTGGAGGGATATAGGACAGCCACTTGTGTGCTCATAAAAATATCTTCTTCATCTAGTACAGCTACTAGATCGAGTGGTATGGTATACTTACACTTCATCTGGTAGCGCTACCAATTTACTAAATGGTAGTGGTATCGTATCACTTTATTAAAATATAATTTAACTAAAATGTAAATAGTAGATAGCGCTATTAGATAATAGTGGTAGCGTGACAGGCTACCAATTAGTAATTACCGTGGTTACTAAGAGCAAATTGGGTATGACAAAAAAATTATTAATTATCATTTTTAACAAATTATATTTTATAAAGTTACAAAAATATATTAATTACAATTTTCTCTCTCTTTCTCTCAGTTCCACAATCTCCAGCCAGATCTCTTTCCTTCTTTTTCTCAATCTTTTTCTTGTTTTCGTTCAGTCGAACTAATACCGCTGCAACAATAAAACAATACCAATCCATTAAAAGAACACTACCAATGCATAAAACACTAATACCATCCGAGAAATATAAATACTACCATTTCACAAAACACCAATACCATTGCAGATTTATCAATATCAATACCATTACATGATAATCAATACCAATGCAAAAAAATCGAAAATAATACCAATGTGAAAAACACTACCACTACAGAAAAAGAAAAATGCTATTTCACTAAAAAGAAATACACTTACATGATAATCAATACCAATGCGGGAAAAACAATACCAATGCGAAAAAACACTACTGCTACGAAAAAATCACTACCAATGCGAAAAAATCACTACCATTGCGAAAAAATCAGATCTATGATTTTTATCCATCCCACATTTTCCAGCCAGAGAGAGAGAGATATTACCACCATTCTCATTCGTGCTTTGGCCTCTCTTTTTCCCCCTGTTGCTTTTAACTCCATTTGTGAATTTCTACTCTTTCCCGGCCGAGAGAGAGAGAGACTTGGCCGACGCTGGCTTCTTCCAAATCCAATTTCGCCATTCCTTTTCCACCATGGAGTTGGATTTAGCGGAGGAGGCAAACGCAGAGGCAACCGGGATGGCTACAGAACATGGCAGGGGGAGGAAGGGAGGTTGGAGGCGAGAGAGATGGAGATTTGGCAGCCGGTGAATGTGGAGATGGGGAAGAAACTGCCGACGAAGAAGGATTGTATTAGGGTTTGGGTAGATTATATATAAATTCATTTTATTAAGGATAGTAATCAGGTGTGGTATAATTTTCGTTTCCAAAAGTATCCTTAATTTAATCTTGATCGTCAATTTAAAAATGAAATGAAACAGAGCAAATGAATGGTATAGATTTTGGTAGCCACGATGACTACTATAAAAGTAGTAATCACCCTAACCCATTCCGTGGTAGCGTGCCACTCGATTAAAATATAATTTAGCTAAAATGAAAATTCAATCAAAATATAATCTAAATAAAATGAAAGTTGTAAAAAAAAAAATTAATTTACCGGGTCAAAAGCTAGTAAATAAATTCCAACCATGGACACAATCCAGAAGCTTTGGATATCCTTTTTCTAGTGCCCTTCATTTAACTTACCCTTATCCAGCTATCCTCTTTCAAGTTCCATACGATGATGGAAGCCCCTACCACTCCCAGGGCCCAGGCGAATCTTAACCAAATATGCCAACAATCTCAACGACCCAGAAATAGGCAAAAAAAGCAAAATATCTTTTTTCATGTGGTGAAAACAACAAAATATATTTGGCGAACAGATCGAAAGCAGCAGTACTTACTTACTGCCTGCCCCATCAATCATTCATTACACCTAAAATAGGACAACCTTACTTTCATATGATTAGTATACGTGATAGTAATTAAGTAGCCTTCCTTCCTTCTCTTTTCTTACCACTTTTGCCCATCTCCCAACTCCACCCAATTTCCTTTCCACCAATCATTCCTTAATTCTGGGCTTATAAACCAATTGGTCACTATAAATAGTGGTTCGCTTGACATAGGAGCGAATCGCATTTGAAGAGATCAAATTGTGTTCGAAACGAGCAAAAAGCTATAAAATGAGTACGATTCACGACTTATCCCAACAAACCACTCCTAATCTAGGTTCAGAACTTCACTCGTTAAAATTTGTCTCAATCCGCACCCTGTAGCCACACCCAATTGGGTTCAGAACCACTCCTAATATGGTCTTATTTACTCGTTAGTATTTGTCTCAATCCACACCCTGTAGCCACTTCCTTCTAGGCATGGACAACAAATCAGATGGTATGGGTTCTCTAATCCACACTTAATTATGTGACTTAATGTTACATAATAGAGATATTTAATAGTATATTATTTATTATGTATTAGGTATCTCAAACTTGGATGTCAATTTCGTTATATAACTAAATTTGTTGAGTACTTATGTGCTACCGTGTTAGTAAACACAAACTTTAGTTTTTATTATTATAGTCGATCCCTCTGTCCCTAATCACAATTTCCATTTGGACCCCAATCTTATTCTCTCTCTTCATTCCGGCGATCGCAAGGCTGTCTCCAGTCCCTAAAATAATATATATATTCTCGCCATTTCTCCCCAACCCTGTTTTAACATCAGTAAAACAATTTTTTTTTTAAAAAGTCCCCTAGAAATGGTCATCAGCGGCGATGTAAACGGCTGCGTCGGAGACACGTGGCCGGAGAACCACCAGCTGGCGGCGGAGGTGCCGAAGAAGCGGACCGGAAGAAAGGTGTTCAGGGAGACGCGCCACCCGGTGTACAGGGGCGTCCGGAGCCGGAAAGGCGACAAGTGGGTGTGCGAGCTCCGCGATCCCCACACCGCGACACGTGTCTGGCTCGGCACCCACCCGACCCCTGAAATGGCGGCCCGAGCACATGACGTGGCGGCACTGGCCTTCCGCGGGAAATCCGCTTGTCTGAACTTCGCCGACTCTGCCTGGCGCCTTCCCCGCCCGGCTTCCACCGTGGCCGAGGACGTCAGGAGATCCGCCGCGGAGGCGGCCGAGATGTTCCGCCCCTCGGTGGAGGAGGCGGCGAGGTTGCAGTCGGAGGTGGCGGAAGGCCCGTGTCCACCGTCGGCGAGCTATGGAGTAGTGGCGGAAGGGAGTGACGAGTGGGGTTACCTGGAGAGCTGCGACGTCATTACTGACCATGATTGGTCGTCGTGGAATTAATTATTGGGTCGATCGATGTATCAGTATGTATGTATAGCTAGCGTAGCTGGTTTTGAGATATTTGTGGACCCAAGTTGTAAGAAAATATTACAGTGGTTCACTTCACATGGTTTCTTTTCCTTTCCGGTCGTCTTTTTGCTGTATTCCCAATGTTTTTATGGGATCACTCCAGTGAGTTAGTGGCCAATGGCCTCAAATTGGTTATTTCATGTTTGGTTTGGTTCCCGTGTCTTTCCGAAACCGTGAATACTTAATCCGTATCACTTTGGAATGGTATCACGTTCGTTTTTACACACGTGTAACTCTTCTCTTATTGGTTTGACTTACCATAGAATAGTTTTTCCACCATGAGATTGATCAATTGGGCATATTAATCAACATATATACTTAAAGACCCAAAAATAAGCCAACCACCACATAAATGAACTTTTCCTGTAGTGATACTTAAAGACCCAAAAATAAGCCAACCACCACATAAATGCTTAAGGGTCACCATTGTAAGTGGGCACCGGGCCGTGCCGCCCACAAGCTAGTACGGCACGACACGGTTAGAGCACGACATGAGCACGAGTACGAAATAAATGGGTCAGCCCGGCACTAGCACGAATAATTTATGGGCCGTGTCGGGCCTAAACTTCGAGACTTTATTGAATATAAGAACGAACATGACACGAAAATAATATTTATTTGATAGAAAATAAATATAAAACGAATTATAGGTTCAAATATTACAAAATACAAGTAGAAATAGAATTATTTGTTGCTGTTAGAAGTGTCATAAAGATATATAAGTAATTACAACCATAAGAAAAAATGGACGAAGAATTAAACAAAGCCAAATCACACTCGCTATACTTCCAATTTTCTTTTCCCCCTTATTTGTTACTTTTCTCAAACATTATCGGTTAATACTTTATTTCTCCGTCCAATTTTCACATTCCTTTTCATTCTCTCTTTTGTTTTTTTCATTTTCATTAAATACAAATATGAGCATGGCACGAGCACAGATAGGCACGACACGATTTGAACCGTGCCCAGGCCTGGGTCGGGCTTAGCAAAGTTAACAAATGAGCTTGCATGGCACGACACTAAAACTGATGGGCTGAGCCAAGCACGGTACGAAATAAATAGGCCCGAAGCGTGCCCGTGCCGTGCCTGCCCAAGCACGACCCAACGCCCATGTACATTCACCACCACTACCCTACCAGACCAAAAATTATGAATGCCAATAGGTGAAGCGGGTATCTTGATACCCATATCCGACTTGTGGCAGGTCAGGTTCAGCTCATGTAATTATCATGCAGCACAGGTCGGGATAGGTCGATCCAATGTGTATGTAATTTATATGGAAAGCATAAGAAATATTCATTATTTTCATTATAAGACCAAGAAACAAATCATAATATGGTAAAGTTTAGTTAAATTATTGGGAAAATTGCGGCTTTCACTAATTTACAACCTTATAATAGCTAAAATATGATGTAATAAAAGGAAAATCCTAAGTAATTTGACTAAAATTACATATAATTTAGACAAGAATGAGACGAGAATGGGACATGTCACGACCAATGGCGGATCCATGGGGTGGCCACCCCAGGCCCCGACACAGCCCTCCTTTGGATCTGGAGTTAGGATAATCCTTATGAATTTGTCAATTTTAGTCATTCAGTCCAGTGTTATTTTATAATACGATTGTGCATAACTAGAAAATTTATTCAAAATAACATATTCGAATCACTACTCTAAATTTAGCATAGAAATTCTAGCCTCAAAGGTTTTTCATCTAGAAAACAATGAAAACTAAAAAATTCTAAAGTCTAAAGCGTAAAAGACAAAAAGAAATATGTGGTTTGTTCCCTTGAAAATTTACTAGAGTAACATGGTGGATATAGGGATGGACACACAGTGCAAATATATTGATTAGTCAATTTTTTTAATCCAAGATAAGCCCCCAGGGCATGGCCGAACAACAAATATATAAAACTGATAACAACAATAATAAAGAACGGTAGCCCGTATGCAACCGGACTCCCGATAAAAGAGCCTTTTTTGCCACGAGGTGGGCAGCTCTATGAAAGCTCCGAGGAGCAAAGACGCGAAACTGACACAGGGAGTCGAGAAGAGAGAGAGAACTTCCCTTAAAATATCTCTGACTTTAGAATGGGAAGACTTCCTCGATGTAGCATCCTAATGACCGGTTGAGAATATCCTCGATAGATAACAACCAAACATTATGAGTAAGACACTTTCTCATAGTAATAGCATAATAAATTTTATCAAAAGCAAATGAGACAGTTCCATCACCTGAAAATCTGGCAAAGTCAGTTTGCACATCCGTGAAGATTCTTTGTGACCCAATCAACCCGGATCAATATACTTTTGCTAGGGCAAGTTATATCTAACCCCAAAAAGGCATCCACTGCGATACTAAAGATCTCTATCTCAAGAGATTAAGGAATGCCCTTTAGGCACATGCGACATAACCGAATGGATAACATCAATTGTATAATTCATAAAAAGAAGTAAAATAGCTCCACATTTGAAGATGGATCCGAATCACCCAATATACAACATTCTTAAAAGTGAATTACCAAAGATAATGAAATAAAATTTCTATTTAACAAAAATTAAGAGTAAGAGTAAATGAGACCACTAAAGATGGACATTTAATAGCTAAACAATAATGATAATAATAAAGCATATTAAAGGGAAAGTAACTACCCGAGAGGCAAAGCCAATTAAATATTTCTCTTGTAATCAGCAATAATTAAGAAAATAAAAATTAGTAAATAAGATTTCAAATCTTACCTCGTAAGTCAACAACTGAGACATCACCGGAGGAAGGAATTTAAATTAAAAAGAAAATTTGCTTACATGGCGCCGTATGTCTCGCCTCGGAACTAAATTCGGAGACAAGGCGAAATTTGAAGGCGGAGGAGAGCCTGGAACCCCAGAGCTCCGATCGCCACCACATCTGAATGTACGTAACCTGACCGGCCGGAGACGGAGATGAACGGAATCACTTGGTGATGGCGTAGATGATCCCCGGGATGTAGCCGAAGAGGGTGAGCACCAAACAGATCCAAAACTCCACCTGACAGCCAAACTTGAGGAAGACGCCGAGAGGAGGCAAGAGGATGGCCAGCAGGATGTCGATGAAGTTAGCCGTGCCGGTTCTCATGATGATCGATTGACTAAACTGATCGAGGATCGATGCCGGCGAGGAGAGGTTGGACCGAATAGAAAAGAACTGGCCGAATAGAAAGGAACTGGCAGGGGCTGGAAGGTGGGGCTGGAAGGTTGGAGATGATGAGTGATGACATGACAGAAAGATTCTCCATGCAGGAAGATGATCAGACACGCTGCGGAGAGGAGAAAAATTAAGAGAGCAGTAGGCGCAGAGCGCCAGAGGAAAGGGGTGAGGGGCCTTCCGCAGCTGCAGAGACACGGCGGAGGCGAATGCAGCAGAGAGAGTAGTCGCCAGAATGGGGCGCCGGAACAGATCGGCGAGGGAGAGAGATTTCTTGCATCTACAATTTACCCGTGATCAACCCAAGTGTTATTGATTAGTCAATTGATTTGTCTAGTGTTGATGTTGCCCGTTTCAACAGCTACCAAGAAGATAACATTTTCAACAATGAAACATGTGAAAACATATTTGCGCAACAAAATGAGCGATGAATTTATGGCCGATTGCTCAAGTATTTTATTTGAAACATAGTTGGTATTCATGTGGACTCCATTATTGATGCATTCGCTAAATTAAAAGACCGTTATGTACAATTGACATTGTAAAAAAACTATAATCATATATATATATATTTTTACGATATATAATTTTCTAATGGAATGCGGCCCAGTACTCTACTGTATTCTGAATTCGTCGCTGTCATGACAGATCATATCGAAATTGCCATCCTTACATTACCAAAAATAGGAGCCAACTTTTATTTCTTTTGTTGGTAGAATATTTCCTTTTTTTTACTACAAAAAAAAAGAATATTTCCTTTTTCTGGATGGTAACTAAGTAAACCTTTATTTTCTTCCTTTCCTTTACTTTCCTCTTTTGCCACTCTTCCGAGCCCAGGTACTTATCGTGGGAGAATTACAATAGAGATCACTAAAATTAACGATTCTTCAGACATTGGCCACCATGCTTTTAGTTCAAAAGATCAAGTGACGGACTTGTTATCAAATGAGAAATCCAATGACGGTTTCCAGAGTTGAGCCTCACTAGTCACTCCTTGCTTCTGTTTCCTCTTCCTTATAAAATCCCCTCCCCCCCCCCCCCCCCCCCCCCCCCCCCCCCCGCCAATTCTCCCAATTCAATTCAATTCAATTTTATAATATAAAAATCCCAAACACAACAACTCCCTACCTAACTAAAGTGGGATTAATTCCCAAAATACAGTAATAATTAAAAAAAATTCCCAGAATACCGAACTTTTAAAAAAAATTCCCAAACTACCAAAGTTTGACATAGTTCGAGTTCACAAAACTCGAACTAGTAGTGGATCGATTGCCAAAAACACGATCCAGGTGAATCGAGGATGGAACACTCGAACCACATGAAGTGGATCGATGAGCTGGGCAGCGCTCCACCATAGATCGATTTACTAGGACACGATCAGGGTCGTTCGATTGCTCAACCATCGAAGCAGTGATGACCCGGATCGAGTGCGGTAAACTCGAGGTAGGTGGATCGAGTCAGGTATAATCGATCCAGTTGACGCGGATCGATGACGTCAGGCGCGCCCCACCGTTGATCGAGTGGTCTAAACTCGATCTAGGTCGTTCGACTGTCAAACCCGCGAAGCAGGGATGACGCGGATCGAGTGCGTCAAACTCGATGACGCGGATCGAGTGCCTAAAACTCGATGCAGTGGATCGCTGATGTCAGCATCGATCAACCGTTGATCGATTACCCTAAGCTCGATCTGGTTCGTTCGATGCGCCTAACCACGATCTGCTTTTGACGCGGATCGAGTGCACAAAAATCGATGCACTAGTTCGAGTTTTGTAAACTCGATCCACTCTCCCACAGAACCTATAAATACCCCCCTCATATTCCACCAAAACTCACACCACTCCATTCTTCTTCCTCTCTTCCTCCCACCACTCTTGAAGAAAAAAATATGCTCTGTGGTTGCGGCTAAGCCCGATCTTCCGCATCAGATTTTTTTTCTTTAGTTTGGTACTTCTATCACTCAAAATTGTCGAGATGGATCCGAGTATTTACGATCCTAGATTATACATTCAAGGTGGACCGCGAGAAACCGATTTGTTGGATGAGCAACCTTACCATCGGTCTGAAAGTGTTTGGGCGGCAGATCCGGTAGGCACTTCCTCATGTACTTTTTTTTAATGTGATAGTATTCTTCTAATTTTTTTGTATAATAATTAATGTTTTTTTTTCTACAGGAACAACTTGACGTAATCACCCATCGGTCGCTATCTCGCTTGCCTAAATGGGATGATCGTATCGAGCCCTTCATTGAAAGAGCGCGATTGCTGAGGGGTGCGAAAGTTTGTGGGGATGGAGATGGACAACAACCTTCTTACGGCAATGGTGGAAAGATGGAGAAAAGAAACGCACACATTCCACCTTCTAGAGGGAGAGATGACGATTACGTTGAAGGACGTAGCCATGCTGACAGAGCTTCCAATCGATGGTGATGCAATAATAGAAAGTTCTTCAAAATCATTGAATGGTTGGGGCCAATATATAAGCGAGCGTTTAGGTATCATCATCCCAGAGGAAGCAGAAGAAGGTCGTCGTGTACCACCTCTACACAAGTCTATGCTATTGATACCTTGGCTAGTGAGGACCGCTGGGGAATTACCGGAGGATGCCACGGATGCTCAGATAGAGAGGTATGCTCGCATCTACCTTATTTGTTTGGTTGGAGGATTTTTGTTTCCGAACAAGTCTGGTGGAAATATGCATTGTATGTGGCTTCGAGTTCTTTTGGAAGATTGGGATGAGATTGGGAGAAAAAGTTGGGGATCTGCTTGTTTGGCGAGGATATATTCGGAGTTGTGCAAGTGTACGGATCCGAAAACAAAGCAAGCGGGTGGTCCCATGTTCATCCTCCAACTATGGGTTTGGGAGCACCTTCCTACTTTCGCTCCGATCTGCCCTGCCAACAGTTGGGGTCCCGATGAGCCACTACGACAATGGGCTTATGGTGCTAGATGGATTGGAGCTATCACGAGTTTCTCCTCTCTAGATGGGTACCGCCAACATCTTGACCGTATAGAATTCAACGAGGTAACATTCTAACTTATGATTATTTATTTTTAATTTATTTGTTGAAGTTATTTGTCTTAGCCTATGATTTATTTTTATGATTACGAATTCTATTTTATTTGTTGAAATTATTTGTCTTAGCCCATTATTTATTTTTATGATTACGAATCCTATTTTATTTGTTGAAATTATTTGTCTTGGCCCATTATTTATTTTTATGATTATGAATCCTATTTTATTTGTTGAAATTATTTGCCCCGATTTTAATTTATATGTTGTGTTGAAACTTAGGTGGAGTGGGATCCGTATCCAAACGGAGCAAAGGATTTGTACGAGTTGCGATACCATGAGGATCGCCGACTCTGGTCGTGCAAGTTGCCTGTGATTTGCCACAACATTGCCGAGTGGCACCTCCCGGATAGATGTGTCCGACAATATAATTGGACGCAACCGATTCCTCTCCCACCACCGGACGTACATAAGTCACTCCACAAGTACAGCAAGGATTTGCGGGGTACAATAACTGATTGGCCAACCAAGCACCGTAGATGGATCGAAATGTGAGAGTCTCGACAGACGTATGCAATTGATGGGATCCCAATGACGAGGCCAATGGGGTACCAAGATGAATACATGGTTTGGTACCGCAAGTTCACAAAAAGATGGGTAACCAAACGTGGCGCCGTGATCGGTTCATTGGTAAGCACAATATCTATTTACTATAATCACCTTTAGCTACACAAATAGTGTTTGACTAACATGTTTATTATTTAGGTTGATGGGTTGGAACTTGCATCAATGACGTTGGAGAATGAACCATAAGATAATGCACCAGGGGAGAAAATTTCATTCTTGAAGAAGCTCTTCAAGAATCTCTTGTCATGTTCGCGGGAAATCCGAAGGGATGTCATTGCATATCCTCCTGCTCCTGCACCGCCACGTCCTTCCTCCCACGCCATTGAAGTTGAATCTCTCCCGCCATCACCACCAAGGAGGAGTAAGCGTCGGCAAGAGCCCGTTACAGTCCCTGTGCATGTACGAGAAGATGTGGCACTTCCTGACCCATATGAGTATGGATTCCCTCCCGCCAGAAGGGAATTTGGAGAGGGATCATCAGGTTCTGCTCAAGGAGGGGGAGGAGGAGCCTACTATTCACCGTATGGTCATCAATTTCAAACCCCGCATCAAAGCTTCCAGACTCCGATTCCAAATGTTTATTATGGTCCTCCAACCACTGCAACCCCACCTCCATTGCCACGAAATACTGGAATTGGATATGGAGTTCGTGCAAGGAATAGACGTCTAAGGGAGGGACGCGGACGTGGAGCACAAGAGTGAGGTGTTCTTTAGAGTTGTTAAGTTATTCTATTTCTTTAGAGTTGTTAAGTGGTTCTATTTCTAATGACGTTGTTCCGTTGTTCTATTTCTTTAGAGTTGTTTAGTGTCAGAAGTGATGACACGATATTGAAAGCTTCTTCGCATAGCAGTTTCTTTCAATGCATCGACCACCTGAGGCTTTCCTCCAAATGTTTGGCCAACCACGAATCCAGAGTCAGGAGTCCATATTGGTATAGGAGGGAGGTCAGGATCGTCGTTGTGAGCATAGAGAGGATGTTGTGGCACCATCGTGTAGTGAGGTGTGGGGGGCTCAAATTCCCCCTCATCAACTTCCAGATCTTCACCATCTGAACTACTCATTGATTCTAACTCTTCATCTTCCATGTTGCTTGCCTCGCTAGTGTACGGAGGACTTGGTTTATCCACATATGGATCATTGTTGATGCCAGATGCTGGTGTAGGTGCTTGTCTGGGTGCCCTTATGTAATCCCATTCTTCACCCCATACTGGCCACTCCTGTCCGTCATGTTCCACCAATGGACCAGTTGCAGTTCGATCCTCGTATGTTGGCCATGGTGCATCATGCCGCACTCTGAAATCTCCTGAACCGGAAAACCCTCCCGATCCTTCACCGTGTTCGGTATAACCGCCGCCACCATATTGGCCAAAAACTTCTGTTTCGACATACACCTCAGCACTTGGAAATCTGTTCTCTGCAATAAATCTCACCATCATATTAATGTCATCATCGTCAGACAAAACTGATCCTTCATATACAAGTGCATAATCCTTGTAAACCGGCATACGGTAAGTCATCTTGCATACTCTTCGCCCTGCTATGCAACATCGTTCAGCACAAATATGACTGAGTTCTTGCCAAGTAAATATGCTCTCAATCCGGACAATACTTGATTCACCATCTTCGTAGTCAATACTATCATGAAAGTGTGTAATTCGACCATTCCACCGAATCTTTAAGTCGAATTTTCGAAATTTTCTACCCATTTCTGCAGTTTATACAAGCAGCTCATTACATACAGTACAAACAATACTAAATTAATCTAAAATTCTAATATGCTCATTCAAACAAAGTAAGCAGAACTTACCTCCAAAATTTTTCTTCTTTGCTCAGCTATGGTGCTCCAGCAGCTGCAGTTTGTGTTTGGAAGAAAGAAGATAGAAAGGAAGAGTGCTGCCAGAAAGTGCTCAGTGATGGCTTTTATTTATCGTAAACTGATGGAGTGGGTCGAGTCCAGTACACTCGAACTACACTAGTTCGAGTTCATTAAACTCGATCTATGTCGACCAATAATTTCCCCCCTGCGCCCTATTCTGGCGCATGTCGGATAGAAAGCGACTGGACAGAATGATTGAGCAAGTAGTTCGAGTTTAGTGTAATCGAACTACACTAGTTCGAGTTTCTAAAACTCGATCTGCTACAACAAAAATCTTATCCCTGCAACCCTATCCTGAAGCATGTCGGTGGGCCAGTAGTTCGAGTCTTATGGCCTCGATCTAGTCCAGACAAAGATCGAGTGAGTTAAAGTCGTTGCTTTACATCGAGGATTTTGAAGTTGATCTTACTTGATCGAGTGTTTTATACTCGATCTACTGAGATCGAGTCTCCTGTAATCGATCATAGTTGTTCGAGTCTTCTAAAGTCGAACCACTATTGATCGAGTGTTTAAAAGTCGATCCACTTTTGGTTCGAGTTTCTTATCGTCGAACTTGTGAGTAGTTCGAGTCCCATAAACTCGAACCTCTTGAAACTTGGGTAGTTTGGGAAAATTTTATAAAACTTATGTATTCAGAGAATTATGTATAATTTTTGCTGTATTCTGGGAATTCTTCCACTAAAGTGTTGGATCAGATATGGTCTTCTTCAGCAGTAAGCAGCTCCACTACTCCGATTCTCCCTCGCTCTCCCCACAGTCCGACGGTGACATCAGCATCGGAGTAGCGACGCCGCCGACGGAGGATCATCACGATCACGGCCACCAGCTGGCGGCGGAGGTGCCCAAGAAGCGGACGGGGAGGACTGAGGAGGGTTTTCAGGGAGACGCGCCACCCGGTCTACCGTGGCGTGAGGAGCCGCAAAGGGAACAAGTGGGTCTGCGAGCTCCGCGAGCCCGTCACCGGGACACGTGTCTGGCTCGGAACATACACCAACCCGGAAATGGCGGCCCGGGCCCATGACGTGGCAGCACTCGCATTCCGCGGGAAGTCGGCCTGCCTCAACTTCGCCGACTCCGCCTGGCGCCTCCCCATCCCGATCTCACCCGGCGCCACCGACGTCAGGAGGGCGGCGGCGGAGGGCGCCGAGATGTTCCCCCGGCCACGGCGGCCGATGAAGAGGAACATAGCATTCGCAGTACTACTACTACTGCGGCTGATGACGTGTACAGTTACTGTGTGGAGGAAGAGGAGCTGGAAGTGGTGGATCTGCCGAGGTTGCTGTCGGAAATGGCGGAAGGGTTGTTGCTGTCGCCGCCGCCGAGCTACGTGGAGAGCTGCAACGCCGAAGAGCGTGATTGGTGGCTGTGGAATCATTAATTAAAGTTTTCTACTGTGGTCTGTGGTTGGTGGGTTGAGATATTTGTGGGCCGGACTTCATATGATATGAATGGCCTGAGTTTCACTTGCTCGGACTACTCCTCCTGTCCTACACTTGTTTTTGTGGGGGACTTGGGATTGGGACTGCAACTTGTTGTCTGCTCATAATATCTTTCTTGTTTCCTTGAGCATTTTGTTTGTGATGATTGAAGCTTTCAAGGGGAAGGTGTGATCGATATATATTCATATGGGTTCCATTCTTTAATTATGACTTTTAGTGACTAGACTTAACTATATATGGTTTACATTGATTTTTTTTTTTATGACTCTATGTCCTGAATCTTCTTTTCTAATTAAAACGGTAAATTAATAATCGAAAAGAAAGAGCATACTAATACAAAGAATTAGAAAGGATTAATATATAGGTATAACCTGAGTTTCACACATATTAAACATTTTAGCTGATCTTTTTCGATTTATAACAGCCAACTCAGTACAAAACATTTTTAAAATGTTCTATTTTAATTTCCTTTTACTTCTTTTGGAAGGTATGTTCTAGCCGACCTTTTTAATTAATTTTTCTTATTTTTTTCTTCTTTTTTTCAAAATAAAAAAGATAAATGGTAATAGCTAGGTGGAAAAAACAAAAAACAAATTAAAGTGTTTTGAGCTGACTTGGTCGTAACGCGACGGGTTGACCATTAGTCAACACATTTGACCGTCCAAGATAACAATCAACTCTCGGGTTTGAACAATTTCATAACTGTAATGCATAATTGAGGTCACGAAGTTATAAATCGAAAAAATTGGTCAAGATGTCTAATATGTGTAAAGTTTGGGTCATACAAATATATTAACCCAATTACAAAAGCCCCTCCTTGAGTACAGGAAGGATAAAAAATTAAAAACAAACTGATGAGGCGACATCACACAGATATATAGAGGCTATGAAGATAGTTTGCCCAAATTGACATTAATCCAGGGATTTCATGAGAGTTCTTGTGGTAGTACATATTTCAGGTACGGTTTATGAGGTTTCTAGTTGATTTTAAGAAACTTTCAGTCAGTTTTATGAGATTTTTAGTTGTGCATCGGGAAACTTGTGCCCTGCTTTTAGAGGTTTATGGTATGCTTAAGAAATTTGTGCTTAGCTTTATGAGCATCCAGGTTTGCTTCAGAGGACTTGAGGTTAGCTTTGAGTTTACAGGTATGTTTTTATGTATTTTGTGGTGTGGCGAGATTCTAGTAAGTTTTATAAGCTTTCTGGTCTACTTGTGGTCGTCATGATACTTGTGATCGTTGTCAACTAAGAACGAGAAGCGGAATAAATGGGCAAGGCCATATGTGTGTTCCCCCACTTTAAATTTCTAACATGCCCTCTCTTTGGTTTTAATTGTGGTCATCCCCTTAAATTTAAAAACTTACATAAATGAAATGTTTCATTGGCTATATGAGGAGATACATATTACAGAATATGTGGTTTTACTTGTGATCAACCTTATATATATAACCTTCTCTAGATGACCTAATCCCAATCCCGCATAAAAAGAGAAAAGTTACGAACCATTTGAAATAGAGCGGACAGAGAAACCATCTGCCAAAGTTCGGTATGAACAAATAAATTTTATTACAAATCGTCCAAAATTAGTCTGATTCTCCAAAATTTTATTTAGTATGGGGAGGATTTTAATTTATTAGGCAACGCTATAACAATGCAAACATAAATTAATTAAAATAACAGTTTCTGTGCCCATTGAAAATCTCACCTATACTTTATTATCAATATTGTACATGGGCGCTGGGTCGTGCTTGGGCCGGCACGGCATGGACACGCTTCGGACCCATTTATTTCGTGCCGTGTTTGGTACGACTCGTCAGTTTTCGTGTCGTGCTATGCAAGCCCATTTGTTAACTTTGCTAGGCTAGGCCCGGCCCAGACCCGGACACGGTTCGAATCGTACCGTGCCTATTCGTGCTTGTGTCATGCTCGTATTCGTGTTTAATGAAAAAGACGAAAACAAAAGAGTTAATGAAAAAGAAGGTGAAAATAGGACGAAAGAAAATAGTATTAACCGATAATCTTTGAGAAAAGTAACAAATAATGGGGAAAGAAAATTGGAAGTATAGCGAGTATTGTGTACCAATTATAACTCGGAAAACAGAAACAAGAGGTAAATTTGGTGACGGTCCCCAGCACTGAGTGGCTGACCGTCACCAATTCTAACTCTCTATGGAGAGGCATTCAAGGCACCAGAACTGGTGGAGGAAGATGGATCATCTATTACACCTTCTCTGCTGCAAACAAAGACAAATCTACTTGTCATAAATGATGGAATTAACTCCTCTGTTCTGGTGGGTAGAAGGAAAGAGTACAATGAAGAAGGGAGGAGTGAATGCGATGGGACTTATCACAAAGGGAAGAGAATAAGCAGAAGGATTAACTGGAAACCTCCAGATTTAATAGATACAGGCTGGAGGAGGAAGAAACGCCCTCGAGTGTCCAAGGGGCTATGTGATAAAAAATCAAATCAAAGCCGAGCTAGAGAAAAGGTGCAGGAGATAAAGGGAAAGGGTGGGGGTTCATCAATGGGTGAAGAGATGGTTAACCGCCCCAACCACATATCAGTAAAGGAAGGGAGAATTAGAGCTATATTAGAGAAACAAAACAGGGGAGGATGCATTTTACTTCAGAACATACCTATTCTCTGGACTGTTCTCGAGGGAAAAACTCTATTTCTTCATAAGCTCAACCCTTACCGAAAACACCAACTCTTCTACAGCCTCCGCCTCTCAAAAATCAGGATGGATATCAACAGCCTTGTGACCCGCACTGAGAATCTAAGCACAGGGCGCCCCAACTTGGTGATGACGGGAGGAAGAGGCATCGCTATGATGCTAGGGAAGATGATGACTGAAAGCAAAATCGCCAAAGCCAAGGCTACTGGAGCAGCAAAGTTTGCTTGGGGGAGGTATGGAGAGGTAGGGGTGCAACCGGTTGAATCAACCCACAACCTCTTCATCTTTACCTTCGCAAGTGCTGAAATCAGGGAGAAAGTCTGGTTAGATAGGCCCTGGAGCCTATCTAACACTCAAACGGCGCTGCAAAAATGGAATGGGAGAGGATTACCAGAGGAAGTCAATATGGATCGGCTGGCTTGCTGGGTGCAAATCCATGGTCTTCATCAGTGCATGAGAGTGGAAAGCAATATCAAAGACATAGGTACTTACTACTTCCCCAAATTTCTGGGTCTCGACAGGGGAGGGCTGGAGTTCAATGGCTACAGGCTCTACTCAAGAGTGCTGGTGGAGCTCGATTTAAATGAACCTGTACCTGTGGGCTTCGATTTCCCATTCCTTGATGAAAGCACCGGAGTTGAACACTGTGAATGGATCTCGTTCAAGTATGAACGCCTTGTGGAGCTGTGCTACTTCTGTGGCTATGTTGGGCATAACTGGCCCACCTGTGCGCGCATGGCGGAAGAGAGGAAGAGAGACCCAGAGGTTGGACTGTCGGAGATCTACAATGCGTCCCTCAAGGCTGGAATCGACTCACCCAGAAGCTCACCGTCGGCGAGTGGTAGCAGCAGGAGGAGGAGTGGCGGAGGGATGCTATCGTCGCCGCTCTCCCAGCGAGGTGGGTCCAGCAGCTATGGTTTGGGCGAGCATGCCGAAAAAAGCAAAAATCCAATCTGTGTGACAGGAGGGGAAAGGACGAAGGAACAATCAGTTCCACCAGGCTTTCGACCGTTGGAAGGAGGAGTTGGAGGAAGGGAGAAGCAAGATGTCAACATCACAAAGGGAAGGGAGAGTTGCAGGTATAGGTCTAGTATGGGGGCAAGGGACATCTCCAGTGACTTGGAGGAAGCAGCGGCGGCGATGGAGGCCAACCTAAGCCTAGGGGAAGATGGAAGTGGGAAAGGAGGAAGAGGCCGAGATGGTGTAGTGGAGACAGGCCTGTCTTTGGGCCCAACTGAGGGCTGCTATGAAGCCCATAATACCCAATCATATGATTTAAGGTACTTCCATGACCAGTCCAGAATGGAGGGAGAGATGGATCGGGCCAATAAAAAAAGGAAGGGAACAGATCACAAAGAGGCCGAAATTGCTTGGGATTTAAATGGGGGAGGCAGATTTTCTCAAGAAGCCCATAGCTCAAGCATATCTGATGGGGTGGCAAACAGAGTGAGGAGGAAGAAAAATACAAAAGGAAGCAAAAGGGTAGCAGAAAAGGGGGCAAGCATATCAAAGGAAGGAATCTATCTTGGAGAAGAAGGAGGAGCAATGGCAGCGGTGGTTCGCCAGAAGCCACCTCACGAGCCATGAGTTTGGTGAGTTGGAATTGTAGGGGGTTTGGCCAACCCCTTACAAGAAGCTATGCAAAAAGGCTTTTTCGGCGTTATAGCCCATCGATTGTCTTTCTCATGGAAACGAGTAAAAACGAAGCTTTTATGGAAGATCAAAGAAGAAGTTATAAAATTTTCCCAAACACCAAGTATGTGGATCCAGTGAACTCGTCTAGAGGGTTTGCTCTTTGGTGGAAATCGGGTATTGATATTGAGGTTTTAGATTGTAATAGCTATTTTATGGATGTTAGCATTGACATGGGTAGGAAGTTTTTTTGTACCTTTGTGCATGCCCCTTCTACATCTGTTAGAAGAAGGGAGTTTTGGGAGCTATTAAGCTCTCTTAGGGATAGTAGGGATGACAAGTGGATTGTTGTAGGTGACTTTAATGCTGCTTTGTATGATTATGAGAAAGAGGGGAGATGCCCCCTTAGGTACGAGAATGTAGAACCTTTCAAGAGGTTCATCTACCACAACGCCCTAATCGACATTGGCTTCAAAGGAGAACCGTTCACGTGGTCCAACAAGAGAACGGGTCAAAACACGGTCAGAGTTAGATTGGACAGGGTGTTGTGTTCCAATTCCTGGAGAGAGCAATTTGGGGAAGCAGTGGTTTTTCATGAGAAAATGGTGGAGTCAGATCACTGCCCTATCAGACTTGACCTACACTTTGGAGGCAACAGAAGGAGAAGGACACCTTTCAGAGTTGACGAGAGGTGGCTAGAGAAGGAGGAATGTCGAGGGATCATAGCGAGAGAATGGGATCCAGGGGGGCCATCTTCGGCACAATTGAACAAATGCGAGAGGGAACTCAGAGCATGGTCAAAGGAGTTCCATAAAACCAACTCGCAAAGAGAGACGGATATCTTGAACAGATTGGAGGTCCTACAACAACCTCCGAGAGATCAAGATAATGTGGAGGAAGAAAAGAGAATCACAGCGGAGCTGGCTAGATTGTGGATTGAGGAGGAAGCTTTCTGGAAGCAGTGTTCGAGAGTGGGTTGGCTCCAATCAGGTGATCTGAATACATCATTTTTCCATTCTAGTACAACGCATAGAAGACACAGGAACAGAATCCTTCGGCTCAAAGACGAGATGGGAAACTGGGTGGAGGATGAAGGAAGATTGAAAGGAATAGCAGGGAATTTCTATAAGGAGCTTTTCAAGGCGAGAGAACTGCCTCCTACCAACCATCTTCTGAGTGAATTCCCAAGAAAGGTAACCAGTGAAATGAACGAGGATTTGTGTGCACCGGTTAATAATGAGGAAATCAGGAAAGCGGTGTTCTCCCTTGGAGCAAAAAAATCTCCGGGCCCAGATGGCTTCTCGGGTCAATTCTATAGGAGATTTTGGAGTACTATTGGAGAAACCTTGTGTCGTGAGATTAAAGAGTTTTTTGTGACGGCTAGCATGCCGGATGGGTGGAATGATACTCACATTGTTATGATCCCAAAGGTAGATCACCCGGAGGAGATTGGCCAATTTCGCCCTATCAGTTGCTGCAATTTCAGATACAAGATCATATCTAAAATTATGGCCACTCGACTGAAGAAATGGACTCCTGAGCTTGTTTCTGAGCTCCAAACTGCTTTCACTGGTGGGCGATTGATACAAGATAATGTTATCATCGTCCATGAAGCTCTTCACCATTTCAAGAATCACAAAAAGGGGAGGAGGAAGGATATGATGCTCAAGCTAGATATGAGAAAGGCTTACGATTTGGTTGAGTGGGATGGCTTGGAAACTCTGCTTAGCAAGTATGGGTTTGAGGACCAATGGTGCAAATGGGTCAGTGCGTGTATCAGATCGGTAAAGTTTTCCATCCTCTTCAACGGAGAAGCTTCAGAGCCTTTTGCCCCAACAAGGGGTATCCGACAGGGAGATCCTCTATCCCCTTTTCTCTTTATTTTAATGTCGAATGCTTTATCCTTTCTTACTGAGAAAGCGGTGTTGGAGGGTAAGATCCAAGGTATAAAACTGAATTCAAGATGCCCGGTCCTCACTCACTGTCTGTTTGCGGATGATACAGTTATCTTCGGAAAAGCTAATCACCAGGAGGCCGGACGGATCCTGGAGATTATCAAGGACTATGGTGCTATCACAGGACAAGAAGTTAACTTACATAAATCCTCGGTTTTCTTCAGTGCGAATGTGACGGATAGGGAGAAGGAGGATATCATTGCCCAAATAGGGTTTGCCAGCTCTAATTGCCACTCAAAGTATCTGGGGGTTCCTACGGAATGGGGTAACTCGAAGAAAGAGACCTTCTCTTTCCTCATCCAAAGAATGGAAAAGATGGGAGAAGCTTGGAAGAGCCTACTCCTATCCCATGGAGGGAAAGAAGTTCTCCTGAAAGCAGTTATCCAGGCCATTCCTACATATATCATGTGCCTTTTCCTCCTTCCAGTTGCACTCACCAAGAAGATGGACACGATTCTTAGCAACTTCTTCTGGTCAGGATCAATGCAGAAAAGCAGTATGCACTGGTGCAAAAGAGAGATCTTGTGCTCCCCGAAGACGGAAGGAGGGCTTGGCTTCAGAAGTTTCAAAGACTTCAACTTGGCACTCCTGGCAAAACAAGCATGGAGACTCCTCTCCTCACCGGATGCACTCTGGAGCCGTCTGCTAAGAGGACTGTACTTCCCAAGGGGAAACTTCCTTTCGGCAAAGAAGGGCAGTAGAGCATCCTGGATATGGGCGAGCCTATGGGAGGCCAAAAAAGTTATTGAGATGGGAACGGTAAAAGTCATTGGATCAGGTGAGGAAACATGGGTGGATAAGGATCCGTGGGTCCCTACCCTTCAGAAGGGGACTATTGGAAGCGGCCCTCAGAACCACATCAGAGTCAAGGAGTGGATTGAACCGGGAGAAAGGATCTGGAACTCAAACCTCATTCAGGGAAACGTGACGGAGGATGAATTGGAAGCTATTTTGAGAATCCCTATTGGGGAAGAGGATTCGGAGGACTTTTGGGCTTGGAAATTTAATAATGAGGGCAATTTCACTGTCAAATCAGCGTATCACGCGATCCATGAGACCAACACCATCACTGCGCCGCCAGGGAACTCTGAGAAGTGGAAATGGATTTGGTCTCTACAGCTGCCCCCGAAACTCATTTTCTTCATTTGGAGATGTGCAAAGAATGGGATTGCCACGAAAGAGAGGTTGTGGCATCGTAAATGCTCTCCGGATGCGACATGCCCGGTTTGCCAGAATCAACTTGAATCCATCGTCCACTGCATGTTTGAGTGCCAGCATGCGTTATCTTCGTGGAACAACATTTTCCCATCTCTTCCACTTCCACCTCAATCCACCACCTTCTTTGATTGGTTCTGCTCATTGAAAGACAGTGTGCAGCCCAATAGTCTCATCTTGATTGTCTACCTCTGCTGGAATATCTGGAAAGCAAGGAATGAGCGTGCCTTCAAGAATCGTATCCCGTGGCCCCCAAATACCTGTAGGCAGACCGTCAGGGAATTCACCGAATGGACATCGTGCCCGAGACTATCCCAACCTCATGTCCAAACATCTTCTGTTCAGCTCAGGGATAACCTACCTCATCCTTCTCCACCGCCAAGCAATCACCACATGGTGATTCACTGTGATGGGTCGTTCATAAGCGACTCCCAGCCGGCGGCTTATGGTGTTGTTGTTATTAACCACCATGGACAAGTATGCGATGGGCGAGCTGACATTTTACTTTGTTCCACCCCGTTTGAAGCTGAAGCGAAGGCGCTTTTGGAAGGTCTCAAATTAGCCCAAGAATATGGAGGAGAATGTATTGTCCAATCAGACTGTCTTAATCTTGTTCAAGCTCTCAGACAGGACAAAGCGGGATGGCCATGGAGGGGAGCGGCATGGATGGGATCCATGAAATCGATCCTTCAGGCCTCAAATCGCATTGAGGTCAGGTTTGTTCATAGAAAGTTTAATGCTAGAGCTGATTGGGTGGCCAGGTCTTTGGCAAGAAATTCACTCCCAGATGACTGGATTAGTATTCTTGATCTAATTTCCGATTTCCTTTAGCCTTGTAACCGCCGTTTTTGGTTTCACCAGAGTGGAATAAAGTTCATCTTTGGTCAAAAAAAAAAGTGGCTGACCCGCTACAACAACCAAAAATAGGAACCCGCCTGCTTTCCCCGAAATGGTTTCACACTTGGACGATTCATATTTCATGATACTAACATTTTCCTTTGCTTCTCTTTTCAAACCATTTTTTCCCAATAATGATAATAATTATAATAACCGAATTTAATATGATGTCCCAATTACTTAATTAAATGAACACCAAATGCTTGTGGTCGGTAACTAATGGGTCAATGCGTTTAAATTTCTAACAAATTCGCCCGTGGAAATAACTAATATACTTGCCACTTTATATTAGTTTGGGGTTTCTGTCTGTTTAGGAAGCTTGTGGACTATGTGTGATATTGTGTGCTCCTACGTAGACGATTTTGAACCAAGTAACTGTGAACAAATTAGTAGCTTAGTTTGGCCCTGCGGTAGTTTTTGCAGAAGCAGCTTCTGGCGGGAGCTTTTAGATAAGTATTTTTCAAAAAAAGCAGCTGAGTGTTTGGCTGTAAAACCATTAGAAGTGCTTTTTAATATGAAAGATTGTGTAAAATGACTATAAAGGACTTATAATATAAAATATGAATAAAAATTCTAAACAATAAAAAGTAAACAAAATGGATCTTGTTAGATTTCTTTATATTAAATAATATAATTTTATAATTTATTTTATTTTTAAAATGATATAAATGAAGGAAAATTATATTTTTTGAAATAAAATTAAAATATGGTAAGGATAATCTTGTATTTTCAAAACAGCTTTTCGCAGAAACTCAAAATCGGAGCTTCTGCTTTTATGTTATACAAAAGCGTTTTTCGGTTTTTCAAAAGCCGAGCTATTACAGATGTTTGGTCCTGCTTAAACTTTTGAAGGCTAAAAACACTTCTAAAAGTCAGGCCAAACATAAG